GGTGTAGTGGAGGTGTGGTGGTCACTGGGTGCTGATGTGGTGTTGTGTTGACTAAGGGGTGTAGTGGAGGTGTGGTGGTCACTGGGCGCTGATGTGGTGTTGTGTTGACTAAGGGGTGTAGTGGAGGTGTGGTGGTCAGTGGGCGCTGATGTGGTGTTGTGGTGACTAAGGGGTGTAGTGGAAGTATGATGGTCAGTAAGTCCTGATGTGGTGCTGCGGTGACTAAGGGGTGTAGTGGAGGTGTGATGGTCACTGGGCGCTAATGTAGTGTTGTGGTGACTAAGGGGTGTAGTGGAGGTGTGATGGTCACTGGGCGTTGATGTGGTGTTGTGGTGACTAAGGGGTGTAGTGGAGGTGTGATGGTCACTGGGTATGGATGTGGTAGATATGCTGTTGTCTGTGTGAGCTATGGTCGTGGTACTGTGATGGCCATTAGTTTGGGTTTCACCAAAAGCACTTATGGGTCTGTGTGTGCTAGTTAAAGCTGTGGTACTGGGGATAATGGTTGTTTTTCTGTCATTCTTTGAATTTTCATTGCTGATGTTTGCGTCCAGAGCTGTTGTTGTAGCTAACTCATGATCAGGGTTGGTAGTTGTGCCAAAGGTGCTGTTGCTGATAGCTATAAGAAGTTAGAGACACTAGGTTAGGCTGGAGCCCAACAGACCAGGAGAGTTTTAGGCAGAAAGTAAAAGGAAGAAATTTTAGGAAGAGGATGGGTGGAGAAAGCCCGAAGACACCAGATACTCCACCTTCCTTGAATCCATTGCTGGCCCATAACTCCCCTCCCTGTTTCTGTTTCTAGTTTTCTTCCATTGTTGCTCTGCTCACACACACACGCACACACACACACACTCTCTCTCTCTCTCTCTTCCATATTTACCACACCTCTCCTACCCTCTCACCCCCAGGAAACATTCTAGGTAAATCAAGCAGGACTCCTCACTGCCCGCTGCCTTGTCCTTTCCGCAGGGCCTTCTCTCAGTCCCAGGTCCCTATGACCCCTTCTTCTCCTTCCTTCCCTTTGGCCCCAGCTTTAAACCTCTCAGCTCACCCTCACACCAGATTCCCTCCCCCTTTAGCTCACTCTGCCAGAGCTAAAAACTAGCCCAGAGGCCATAAAAAAATGGTATGAATCAAGCCACCCCTTCCCCATCTCTTTTTTCCCTGCCCTCACCTGTAGGTACCAGGAACAATACAAGGACCAGGGTGGGTTGGATGCCAGGGGTCATGGTGGTAACCAACGGAAGAGAGCACTGAGCAGGCTGGGCCAGGTTCTGCCCAAAAGGCTGGGTCGGGCTCAGGAGCCCGCTGCTTTATACCGGTCCTCCGCCCGAGGCTCCGACAGCCAGAGCAGGTGACAGGTGACACAATCCCGCCCCCCAATCCCTCCTCCCTTCTACTTTTCCTTCTCCTCCTCCCCACACATTCCTCTGACCCCTCGGGTACACTGGGCTCCGTATCACTCAACCCTCTGACAACCTGTTTGTTCTCCACCTGGCGTCACCCCCATCTCCCCTCCCTTCCCCCACATAGAGGGGAGCCAGACTGCCTATGATCCCAGACCTTCTTTCTGGACCCTGGGGCAGTGCCTGAGGTGGGAAAATGGAACGGAGATGAAATGTGTTAGGTCAGTACCTCTGGAACCCCAAGAACGCTACATCACCTTCCAGCCCCTAGAGTCCCTGACTCTCTGGGCTACAGATTCATTTAGGACCCCTCTCAGGTCACCCCTTGTTGGGTTCCCAGCAGAAAGGAAGATTGAATTTGGAATAGTTACCCCCATTTCCCGAAACTGCCCCACCCAATGCCAGCCCCTCCCTGTTCGTTCTGCACTGCAGATCTGACCCGACAGTCCCCGCCCCAGGGTGGCTTTTTCTGTACGCCTGGGTGCCTTCTGCGATTTCTCATGAGTGCGGGGGGGGGGGGGGGGGGGGAGGGAAGGGGGGGGGGGGGAAGGAGGAAGTATGAACAAGAAAAGAGAGTAAGATCTTTGGGGTCCTTCCACCCCCATCCTCCAACTCTGCACGCATTAGAGGTAATAGGACTATTCTGTCCCCTGGTGGTCATTTGGAGCCCTTCAAGGATTAGCGATGGTAGCCAGGTGGAGGGGGAAGGGTGGAGATCTGATGAGTGAAGTGGGAAGGTGGAGACGTAGTTACAGAGCAACCCCGGGCATGGGAGAAGTACCTAAAGGAACACAAACCAACACTGGATTTAGAGGCTAGAGAGCCCTGCGTGTAGATCCCTACGTAGTTACTAACTATAGGATCTTGCATAAGTCACTTCATCTCTGAGATTCAATTTCCTATTTTAAGATTCAATTTCCTATTTTATAAAATAGGGCACAACAATCCTTGTGTTACCTAATTTGTGGGTTTGTTTTGAAAAGCAAATAAGATAATGTGTATGTAAGAGAGGTTTATCAGGGAAACCTTATAAATTATGATATCAGCGTCAGCTATTGCTAGAATTATTTTAGCTTTCTGCTTCCTCCTTTGTAAAGAAGGAAGGAAAACACCGAATTTCGAGCAGGAAAGGATCTCAGAAGCTATCTGGTGGGAAGGTAAAGGGAAGAAACAAGCATTTCTATAGCACCTACAATATGCCAGACACTGTGCTAAGCACTAAAACAACAAATTTCTCATTTGATACAACCCTGCTAGGTAGGTGCTATTATCATCTAGTGCGACCCCTCATTTTACAGGAACTGAAACCCAGAAAAGAGAAATGAATTGTTCACACAGGTAATAAGGAGCAGAACCAGGATCGGTATGATGCTTCCATCTTTGTCTTATTCCCCTTACAAGCATGTATGATGAGACTTAATCAAACACCAAGCAATTATTAAGGACCAACTCCGTGCCAGGCACTGAGCTAGATGCTGAAAATACAGTGACAAAAGCAGATAGCCCCTGACCTCAAAGAGCTTCCATTCTTATTCAGGAATTGACATATCACAGAATCACAGAATTTTAGAACTGGGAAAGCTCTCGGAAGCTGTCAGTCAAACCAATGCCTGAAATGACTCTTCTCTATAACATACACAAATAGTAGCTGTCCACAGCCTCCACTCCCAAACGTCCAGGGGGAGGAGGTGGGGAACAACCCATCATCTCTTCAGGCTATTCATTCCCCTTTTGGACAGTTCTAATTGTTAGGAAGATTTTCCTGACCTCTACCCTAAATTGTCTCCTTTACACATTTCATTCCTTGGAATGGCACCTAATTCTTCCCTTGGGGTCAACAAATAACAAATCTAATCTTCCTGGCATTAGACAGCCCTTTATATACTTACATATATCCCAGTAGATAAATAGCCAAAGTATGTAAACAGACAATTCTCAAGGAAAGAAATGATAGCTATATACCATCATATGGAAAAGTTATCCAAATGATAAGAGAAATGCAAATTAAAACAATTCCGAGGTTTCACCTCACACTCATCAGATGGAAAAAGATGATAAATGAGAAAAATGATTAAGGGAATGTAAGAAGACAGGCATACTAATTGATAGAGCTGTCAACTGGTCCAACCATTCTGGAAAAGAACTTGGAACTATAGCCCCAAAGTCACTAAACTGTGTATACTCTTTGACCCACAACACCACTAATGGGAATACACCTCCAAAGAAATCAAAGAAAGGAAATGAATCACATATACAAAAATATTTATAGCAATACTTTTTTGTTACAGCCAAGGACTAGGAAGAAAGGGGGTGCCCATAAATTGGGGAGTGGCTAAACAAATTGTGGTATGTGAATGTAATGGAATATTACTATGCTGTAAGAAACGACAAAAAGAATGGATTCAGAGAAACCCAGAAAAGACTTTTCTAGACTAATGAAGTAGTATGGAACAGTGGATGGATTGCTGGATGTGTAGTTAGCAAGATCTGAATTCAAATTCCACCTCAGACACTTCCAGTTATATGATCTGTTCTCCTTTGTGTATGAAAATGTATATGTTGATAATTTTTTAGTTTATAATAAAATTTTAAAAAAGAAAACTGGATTGGGGAGGGGTTTTAAGACATCACCTTCACCCCCACTCCCACCCAAGTCTTCTCTTCTTAGGACCACTGGTGTGCCATAAATAGAGTATTGTTCAGCAGTCAAGAAAACCTGAGTTCAAATCTAGCCTCAGATACTTATTAGCTGTATGGACCTAGCTGAGTCACTTAACCTCTACCTCAATTTCTTCAACTTTAAAATGGGGATCATAATAGTACCTACCTCTCAGGGTTCTGTAAGGATCAAATGAGATACTGTGTTTAGTACAGTGCCTAGCACATAGTAGGTACCACATATATGCTCATCTCCTTCTTCCCTTCCCCCTCTTCTCCAAGAACATAACCAGTTCCTTCATGCAGTCCTCATATGATATGGACTCAAGGCCTTCACCATTCCAGCTGGCCTCATTCAGATATTTTCCAGATCATTGGTGTCCTTCAGTGAGGTCTGATGTGGCAAAGTACAGTGGGATTATCACTTTTTTTTAATTTCAGGAAGCTATGTCTTCTTAACACAGCCCCAAATCACCTTAGCTTTTTAAATTACTTCATCACAACTATATATTGAACTCAAAATAAACTGAACCCCCCATATCTTTTTCAGAACCCCAGCTGCCTAACTGTGTCTCCCACTTCTTGTACTTATGGAGCTGATTTTTGGTATCCAAGTGCAAAACTTGATTTATCCCTACTGAGTAGCATCTTGTTAGATTCAGCCCAATGCTCTAGCCTGTTGGGATCTGTCTGTCATCCAGTGTGTTAGTTATACCTCTCAATCTCGTATCATCTACAGATATAACAGACATGCCATCTAAGTTATTGTCTGAATTATTGATAAAAATGTTAAACATCATAGGGCCAAGCATACATCCCTGTATTACTCCATTAGAGACCTCCTGTCATGCTGACATTGCACCATTGACAATTCCTCTTTTAGGTTGATCATTCAGGTAGTTATTCATCTGATGGTATCATCATCTAGTCTACATCTCTCCACCTTCACAAGTATACCATGAGATACTTTTTCAGGAGTTTTGCCAAAATCTAGATAAATTATATTTGAGACATTGCCCAGTTTATTAACTGTCAAAAAGGAAATGGCCTAGGGGCAGCTAGGTGGCAGAGTGGATAGAGCACCAACCCTGGAGTCAGGAAGACCTGAGTTCACATCTAGCTTTCAGACATTTACTAGCTGTGTGATTCTGGGCAAGTCACTTAACCCTGATTGTCTCCAATAAAGGAAATAGCCTGACTTACTCCAGCTGAAGACATGCTGGCTTTCTAATCATTGCTTCACTTTCCACATGCCTACCAGCCCCCTTTCCTTTAATAAGAGTCCAGTCATGGGGTTCATTTTAGATGTGTGCTGGTAAATGTTTAACAACCAACAGGGCACATGTTTAAGTTTAATTTGCATTATTCACATTTCTCCATCACTTTTTTTTAAAATCTATACAATCAATGAAAAAAATAAATCAAGACTTAATTTGTAGTAGTGGCCTGTTTCCTAGGAGTAAATGTTCCTACTGAAAATTGACCAAGTTTGAGCTGGTTCCAGCTTACCCGTTGGGTTCATCCCACCAAGAATGTGACACCAATGCTGATATTTGAAGGAGTGAGGGATTCTAAGACGGGAGGTAATAAGGAATTGCATTCTACATGAAGACAGTGTGTCTACAAAGGCACAGAGAAGAGGGAATGAATGTTCTGGAGGAGGAAAAACAAGCATGAAGGGGAAGAATGCAGTGTAAGCCAAGAATGGTAGGTTAGATCAAGGCTGCATAGAGTTTTACATGTCAAACTGAGATGTTTGTATTTTATCCAGAGGTAATTGAGAGCTACTGCATCTTTTTGAGCAGGGATCATAGGGTCATAAAAGGGCAAATAGGTGGCTCAGTGAATAGAGCGCCAGGCCAGGCCTGGAGTCAGGAAGATTCATCTTTGTTAAGTCAAATCTGGCCTTAGATACTTACTAGCTATGTGACCTTGGACAAGTTTGCCTTAGTTTTCTCATCTGGAAAAGGAGCTGAAGAAGGAAATGGCAAACCACTCCAGTATCTTTGCGCCAAGAAAACTCCAAAAAGGGTCAAAAAGAATTGGACGTGGTTCAAATGAATGAATGACAATAACATAGGGTCATAGATTTGGAGTGGGAAGGGTGCTTAGAAGTCACTTAGTCCAATGACTGGGGTAGAGAACCCGTGGCTTTGAGGTTATATATAGCTCTATAGGTTCTCAAGTGCAGCCCTTTGACTGAATCCAAACTTCACAGAACAAATCTCTTTAAAAAAAGGATTTGTTCTGTAAAACTTGGA